TTTTAACAATCAATTGGTTTGTTGAAAAAATTTATTACATAAAATCGGAGATAAGTTATGGGTGATTGTGCGTACAAGATTCTATAAAAAAAATCCTATTTTGAACAAAAATCCTTGATTTAAAGGCGTCATTAAGTTCTAATTTTAGTAATTTTTTTGCAAACAATTTTTTTGATCTATTAAATTGTGTAATTGATCTACTTTGATTTAATTAATGTGAAATTTATTAACATTCTTCAAATGTGATGTCATATATAAAATTTAACGAATTTGATTTGAGTTGAACGTTGTCAAATAATCTGCGGTATTTAATCCAATTTTTCAAAATTATTTTAACACAATATAAACCAACACAATATAAACTATGAGAATAAATTAAAAAAACGAATTATTAGTGTGACGCATTATAGTTTCAGTCGGTATATTCTAAATGATAAAAAAACAATAACAAATAGTTGAATTGAGTTCTAAAAACTAAAGACCCTTGTAATTTAATATAACCAAAATAATAAAATTAATAAGGAAAAATTCACAGAAAATTAAGAATCAACTTTAATTTAATTCAATTTTAATTTGTATCATTAACATCAAAAATTTAATTTTTATCGTTAACATCTTATATCAAAATGACTTTCCGTTAGATTTTATTTTTAAGAATATAATAGGATTAATTTATTGTTAAATAAGACATTCCAGATGCAGAACAAGACAAAAAAAATGAAAGAAACAATATAAAATGGTTTCATACTCTAAGGTTTTTTTTTAACAAATTCAGAAACATTGTTAATAGAATAAATCACAAAATTTCGTTCTTTAATATTAATAAATTTAATAGATTTATTAAGGTTTAGATTTATTAAGATTTATAATACACAAAGATCCTCTTCCATAGATGGAAAAAAAGAATGTTGTATACAAAATCGAATGTAAGGACTGTGATGCATCTCATGTAGGTCAAATACGTAGAAATTTAAAAAAAATAATCAGAATAAAAGAACACAATCAGAATAAAAGAATACATATGATGGAACACATCCTCTAAATCTTATTACTGATCACAGATTGCATTACAGTCATGAATTTGATTGGGATAACGCAGATGTGCTGGATGAAAATTTTTATAAACGCTTGATTTTTTTGCTTTTTATCAAAATCCAGAAGAACTGTTTAAATTAAAAAAAAGACACTGAAGTCTAGATTATCGCATATGCGAACATTTTAGACAAACTCATAAACAATAATTTGACTTATTAGATTTTTTCCATCACAGTTAGGAACATATATTTTTGTCATTACATCGTTTAATGTCGTTAAGACATAATTTAATAATAAATGAGTTAAGACATAATTTATTGTATGTTAACCTGTCAAAATTTATCGATGAATTTTATTTAAATGTGTAATTGTATTAACGATTATTAAATTTTGTGTCTCTGCTAAACAACGGAAGTAAGCTCAAATAATAAAATTTGGTACTTATATCATCGCAATTTATTAAAATCTATTACTTGATATAGATATTCCTTATTAATTAAACACAGAGGAGATCTTCACTCAATCAAGTGATAGGTCATATTGTTTACATATGTTTACATATGCTTACATATGTTGTTTTGGATGTGGAAGCACAGATTCTCTCACAAATTGACTGCAAATGCTTAATAATATTCAAGATTTATTTTTCACCACCGTTGAGGGTGGTCCCAAAATAAGACCGAAACATTCGAAAACATTGTATTATGATTGATTACATTATATGGATGATTTAATTAATTATTAATGCGAATTTTGAATTTCCACGTTGACTCTAAATTGTCTGTGAATTTTTCTTATTGATTTTATTGTTTTGGTTATACTAAATTACAAAAGTCTTCAACTATTCGTTATTATTTTTTTATCATTTAAAATAATATACCCGTGATTTGTGTCACATAAAAAACGCATAAATATTTATATTAAAAAAAAATCGTAAAACTTTTTACAAAAAAATATGATTATAAAACTATCATCTTTGAATTGAACGTTAAAAGAATAGAATTTTGAAATTTTTTGCAAAATAGATAGTCGATCTTCGCTTCCTCAGTTCATTTCTTTAGTGACACAAACAAGCAATACCGACCCGATTTTTTTTTGTGGTTTTAAACCTGTACGCACGTGGTTTTCGAACTGAACGTGAGTACTGGAGACATATGATGCTGAACAGAGACATCGTATAAAGCGAAGAGAGAGGCCGCATATATGCGTTCGTAGTTTTCCTGAGAAGCATCAGACTACCCGAGAATGGTCTCTACGGTTCGGTCTTATATACGAATTGCATCATACCCGAGTGCTTACGAGAAATGTCATATTAACAGACGCATTCTCTCAACTCAACTTCGGTCCCCAAAATCTTTAAGATTAAAATCAGCAATGAATTCTAAATTATAACTGTGGTATATATTGATTATTGGAATCGTTTTAACATAATTTTTATAATTATTTAGCTGAATATTCGCTATAAAGTATAAGGTGATGACCGCCTAGCGGCTGAAATCCTAAACTAAAATGCATCGCGCAACGTGCATCTAACGGTGGCGTTGCATGCCTTTCGTGGCGCGGATGTTCAAAACTTCACGAAGATCCTCGCTTTTATCAAAATCTTGACACAAAAATTAAAAATTCGAGTGAAATTAACGAATATAGGGAAAAAAGTATGCAAATTAAGAATGCAAATTAAACTGAGAATATTAAACGTTGTTATTTAATTAATTTTATCGTAAAATGTAATTATTTTTAACTTTTACGTTATATACACAAATATGAACAAATAAGCGCAACACAATCAAAAGTCGTAAGACGCTAATTCTCCATGAGCCTGAATTAAGTGCTTTATGTACACATATGTGCTATATGATTTTTTAAATTTTAAATAATATGTGACAAAGAGTTGAAGGAATAGAAATGTAAGGTACAAAGGGCCATTACTCTCTGATAACTATTGAACTTTAAACTTTTGCATCAATCGGCTAATTGAAACGTATAATTCGTTAGAATTGGAATTTAACATCAAAGATTCTTATCATAATTATTAGCAATATTTCTTTAAGATTCGTATAGCATTTATAAATTTTTGATCTAGCAACAATTGGTCGGTCGCACTTTCATCCATTGAAAACGAGATGAAAAATGTTGTGTGCAGCAGAAAAATTACAAAATTTGATGTAGGATCTGGCATAAGGGTATGTACTGAAATTCATTCGGAATGATTTCCAATTAGAATTATTCAATTATTCTCCAGATTTCTATTGTTTTCTAGGAAAAATGGAATAATTCCGACCGCAATCCATTCTAAATAATTTCATAATATGTAAGTATGTACAAATTTAAGGGTATCTATTATTCTCTAGATTTCTATTGTGTTTTCTAGTGAAAACGGAATAATTCCGACCGGAATTCATTTCGATATATTCCATGATAGATGTTCTAACCAACTATTCTTTATACTTTTTATAGACTGAAATTTTCTGTTTCACCAAACTTTAAACATATGTCTACTTCACTTTAAGTACGAAATATTTAATTCATTAATTCATTTATAAAGAATGCAACATTGTTGTCAAAATGCAGAAAGTTTGTCAACAAAATACGATAGATTGGCAAGAAAAATAAATATCGATATACTTGCTGCATAATTAACATATATTGACGGCAAGACGCATATATGCAGAACGCAATCTGTGTCCAATATATTCCACTCGTTCGGCGGATAGATTTCTACCGCCAATACACTGTCAGATTATGTCAAACTCTGTCAAAATACAAGATAAATATGCATACAAGATAAATATGTTGACTAATTTGCTAACAATTTCTGATCAAATTTACTATCAATTTATTGACATACTGTGGATTATTCGACGTGAAAATTTTACAATGCAAAAAAAATATTTATCGATGTTTCTTTTTTAAAATAAATAAATAAATAAACAAAAACAAAATAATAATCTCAAAGGTATATTTTGTGAAAAATAGACTTTATTAGTGTAAATGGCAATTGATTGATTCCTTCAAACCTGATTTTATTAAAACCACGTTAAAAAAAATTTTTTTAAATTCAATTCAGAGCACTTTAATTAATAAATAATTCATACTAAACAATTAACTTTTTCAACATTATGACTATTTTTCCAACATAAACATTACTATGTACATCTGATCTTATATGATGTCGATAGAATTAAATAATTTTTACGTCTTAAAATTTGTTGTATATTACAATGTACACAGAATTTGAAGGATAATATCATAATATCATAATTCTTCGTTTTCTTTTCAAATATTAACAATTATTTTCTTTTCGAATATTAATAGACAATTCTCTTTCGTTATAACCAAAATCAGAAAAGAACAGATAATCGAACGTTAGTTAACTACATTGAGTCAACTAATATTCGTGAAACCAATTTGCGGGAATTTTCTTTTATTAGCTTTGATAGGCATTATACATTTATTTGATTTTCTTTTATCTCACAGTAAACGCAGATAGAGGATTCCAAAAGAATCACAATAAAATCACACTCGCGATACATCGAGAGAAACATAACAGGAAATCATTTCGAAAAAATCTCATGGAGAGATAGTGTAGCAAGTGCTGTAAGACATGCCTGTGGATTGATAATGTATCTCGAAATTATGCGAAAATTATAACAGTGAACACACTAAAATATTTAAAATTTTATTGATCAATACCTAATAAATTTATTCACTTTTATCATTTTCACTCGTTTCAAGATACACAATTAATCCTCTGGTCGCGAGCCACATGGAATTACAAAGTTTTATTACATCACTCCCGAGCAAAGCTCACTGCACTCATGCGCCACGTCACGCGCCGATGCAATCACGTAGAGACACTTCCGAATTGCTCCGAGCGAAACGCGAAGCCAACGCGGAGAGGCGCGAGAAACAACTGAAGGAGAGAAAAGCAAGAGTCGAGAGGTATTAAAGTGAGGATTACTTACTGCTGCAAGTGCCGCGGTCGAATTGCAAATCATCAATAGGTCTGCTTTTTTTGGCTGAACTTTTGTACTAGTTCATCTTTCTTTCTTTTCTTCCAGCAAGAAAGAAGAAGAAGAAAGGTCTGGTTTTTATTGCTGTACTCTGAATCGGTGCAATAAGCTGAAATGAAATAAACGAACATCATTTCACTTCAACTTACTTATTGCACTGTGAACAGAAGTGCAGGAACAAAAAACAGACCTATTGATGAACTGGCAAAAGTTCAATCAAAAAGAACAGGCCTAATGCTTCACCGAGATCGTCCTTGCAACGATTACACGGCCGGTCGATATCCCGCCTTCGCACATACCTCGGATGAGCGACGCTTGTCGTTTACCGACCAACGACAATAAATACACACGAGCGAGAAATCGATCAATAACATGCGACGACAGAAAATCACAACTGATCACCAATCACCACGCAATCGCTCACATACTTTCACTACATACCTTTCTGCCCTATGGTGGAAGGGATAACATGATGAGTCGTGTGTGCAGTTGGACGTTATATCTTTCTACATCTCCCTCTCTGTCTATGTTCAGTGAGAGTCAAGAGGTTTGTCGCGTCGCATGCTTCAACATGCCCCTACTCTAATCAAAGCTTCACTCAACACGTTCATTAGGGACTAGTTTCATTAACGCCTCGGTTAACTTAATCGGCGTTGATTGACCAATCGCGTTTGCTATTTAGAATTGACCAATCGTGATTAAGCTTGATCGGTGTTGAAACCAGCCCTAGGACGGTTAGCCTGAATTCTCATACGAGCAATAGCGCTTTGATACGAAATACTGACTTGGTGAAAAGTTGTCGGGGTAAATTTTATCTCCATCATTTGTTTTTCACCAATCAGCATTCGGTATCAAAAAGCTGTTGTCCGTATGAGGATCCGGGCTTAGATTTGGTTAGGGCTGCCGCACACAAAATTCTGCAACAGTGACCGTAAGACATAAACTTAAGCCAATGAACTAATTAGGATATTACTTTAAGTCTACATAATCTAATGGAAATAAAAGTAAACTAATACTAAACCATAACCTAATAAGGCGAGTTTCAACCGGTTGAAACTCGCCTTATGAATAAGTTAACTGCTATTTCTATTTCAGTTTACGTTTTAAGATTACTGGTATAGAAATTTTGTCTGTGGCAGCTCTAAGAATTAAGGATCCTCTACATAGAAGTCTTAAGTCATAAAAAACTGATCAATCACAATTAAGTATTCTTCTCATATTCTACCGTGATTAGTTAATTTTCTATGACTTAAGACTCGACGACTATCTACAAACAGGAACACGGAGATTTTGTTACAAAAGGAACAGAGAATAAAAATTTCAATCAATCAGAAATCATGTATTGTGAAATACATAATTTCTGATAGGTTGAATTCTTATTCTTTATTCCCTGTTCCTTTTATTGTGCGGAGCACCTAAAGGCTCCATTGGCCAAACTTGCATAGTCGCATAAACGTGTGCATAAAGAAAATCATTGTATTTTATGTTTGTCTTTATCACAGAAATGTGATTAGATAATTTTCTTTACCTTTATATGATTATGTATCTATATAAGTGGAATTTGTGTGGAATCTTCTGTAAAGTAGAAAAAAAGGAAGGATTCTGATTAGATAATTTTTATGCGTTATGCGTTATCCAAAATAAATAAAATCTATGGCTTTAAGAATTAAAACACAAGAGCAGAAGAATGCAAAGAAGGCGGCGTTTAAAGGGACTCGAAATCTGATCAATCAGGAGATGCCCCTCATGATTTGACTCTTAAGATTTGTTCGCGTCGCATGTTCCAGCATACTCCAATGTACTCCCTCATTCTATCAAGCGCGTTGGAATGAGTAAGAGCTATGGTAGAAGTATACAACATGTTACAGCATGTGATCTTAAAGATTTGTTCGCATCGCATGCTCCAAATTAATCCAGCGAGCACTTGGATCACAGATAAGATATCGATTGAAATGGTTGCATTCATGCTCCAATGTTCATGACACGAAGGAATGTAGGACAAGTGAGCATGTCACCTAATCTAATCCTAATCTAATCACTCGAATGGGTCGGGTATGTACCTCATTTCGATTCGAGTATTTTATGTTATTTGAAAAGCGTTTTTATAGAAAATAAATGTTTTTAATAAATATAAAAGTTATAAATTAAAATGTCAAGGCTTTTTAAAAAAACGAGCAAATGTAGTTAAAAAAATTCATCTTTTTTATTACATTCGTATAACGCTATAAATTTCAAACTTTTCGACTTATGTACAAAATCTTCATCAGTGATAATAAAGAAAACGTATTTCTGTAACCCTATCCAATGTCAACGAATTAACATATATATGATACATAATAAAAATTATCGCTCTAGGCTAATCTTATTTAATTATTCTTGCGTTAAGATATTACGGATTGAAATAAGTATCAAGTCAGAAGTTTGAAAGCCCATAATTGTAAAATTGTATTTAACTGGTTCTTCGGTTATTATCGAGAATCAGCTCAGTTAATAATTGCCGCGCGGCAAGCATTTCCGTGTCCAGTGTGCAGGAACCATTAGAGTTCTCTCCTAGTAGAAATGATATCAAATCGACATTAATTCGATATCGATTAGATGCGTTCGGCAATGTAAATTCTGAAATGCGAGCTAGCAGATGGCGAGCTTAATCATGTAATTTTTGAGCAATCTTTGAGCATGCAATCCGAGTGCCAAGAATTAATTCCGAATGCTACAGAGCTGTAAATTGTCCTTTAAGATTATAAAATGAAATGGTTTATTTTTATGAATAAATAAAAAATATCCTATTAATTGAAAATTTCTTTCGCTTTATACTAAAAACTGATAATAGCATATTCTAAAAACTTAAATACTAAAAACCGATCGATACATGAATGTAACAGACTTATATGCAAGGTGTTTTCCTAAAAGAAAATACATTGCAAAATAAATTTCAGCAATTTATATTACTTGATTTATATTGATAGAATCTTTAATATATTAATGCAGTTTGATTTTATTTCACTCTATATGTGCAACATAAGCTTTGATCTAAAAATTAAAAGCAAATTCTTTGTTTTCAAATGTAATTTCAAATTAATAAAGAGGAAAAGAATTAAACACTTATTTTCCTCGTTAAATATTGTACACAATGTATTCCATCAATTTCTATTTGATAGCATTTGTTTAAGCGTTTGTAGATTCAGACATTATAATAGTTCAAATACACTATTTGTAAAATAGAAATATTAAAAGAGATGAATGTACGTTATATTACGAATCAATTCAATACATTATCATAAATATACAGATTATGAATTTAATTTAGGCGCGAAAATCTGCATTAGCTTTGAATCCGAACTGGATCGAGCAGTTCAATTGGCTTTAGAAATGTTAATAATGCAGATGAGATAATATAACAGAAAGATGCAAATTGTCAAACGATTTTCGAGATAGAAGAGCAAACGGATGTCTCCGATTTGCAATGCCGAACGCACCTATTATTATTTCTGACTGGACTATTTTACAAGTGACATTCAAATTGATTTTTTTCTTGAAGATTTGATAAATATAATCTAAGTTTTGATAAATATAATTTACCTATGGTGTTATTAGTACAAGGTGGATAATTGAATGTATTAATTGAAATTATAATATATTACAGGTTTATAATTGATATTTAAATTCTCTTCGAGTATAGCATCAAATTAGCAAAATGTTTATAAGTTATGTTGTTATTAGGAAATTTGTAAAAATAGAATTAGGTAAATCGTATTCGTCGCTTTATATTATACCGATATGATTTTCGCAAGCGAAACAAACTTCTATAATCTCCTCGCGGCTCATCCGCATTATTAGGTTACATTTGATTAATATCGGACACGAAGAATTATTAAAAGACCTATAATATAAAAACTCTGAAGAACTCGAAGAATAACCCAGTGAACACAAAGTTACATACCTGTTACAAAGTAACGTACCTGTTAGTTGTAATTTCCTATTCATAATCGTAATATAAAACTTGTATGTTATGTTACGGTTATATTATCGAAAATTATAATATCAATAGATACATAACATGTAACTTATGCTTACTGGGAAAGTTTTAATATACTGATTTTGATAATTATTCAGAACTGCCATCTCTGATTTCGATGAAATTAGGCTCATTTAATGCGTTTTTGCATAAAATGAAAAAATCTGATAGAAAAAAGTGCCGGACTGTCCTGCGAAGCGAGATATTAAATGTTAAAATTTATGATTGAGGTTAGAAAATCTGTCGGTTGCGAAATACTGCGATGAAAGTATGTGCTGGACTGTATTTAGGGCACTATTCTGTAACTATCTTTACATGCCTACCGATACAGTTGATGTCGTTGCGTAGATATTTTATATGATGAAAAAACTGCACAATGACACCGAATTGTGTAAAACAGTTATAGGGAAATCTTTCAACAAAAGACACAAATTGATACAAGAGTCATTCTGTTCTTATTCAATAATCAGTTTCATTTTTTTACATAAAAATCAGTTCTTAACAAAAATGAAAATAAGAGGAATAATCTTCATGATCTTAACAAATATTATCCAAGATATAATCCTAAACAACATTCAAGAGATTTTAGCCGTCGGTCGGATACCTTATACAATGCTAATGCCGATAGTATTGTAACTTTCGAGCCTTATAACTCGAAAGGTACTCAATAAAAAATAATTTTATTATAGTGTTTTGAAAAGCTCTCGATATCGACTATTAAATATACTGGAATAAAAAGTTCCATTAAAAAAAATCAACATGACCTTGATTTGACCTTGGCGATGCCTAATAAATAGATCTTTTTAAATCCTACAACTTTTGTCTTAACACTTTTACGATTGGATCCTCTTATCCTGTGAATATAAAAGGGATAAACAGGTGTGGAAAACAGTAAACAGTATTAACAGTAAATTATTTTAATGGTTTATCAACGTTACAACTATCGTAATGAAATACAAAATTTTCTATGTATTATATATAGAAAATTTTGTATTTGATCTCGACAATTTTGATGTCGGCAAACTATCAAAGTAATTTACTATTAATACTTTGCGCACTTGCGACTACTAATGTTTCTTTAACGTTTTCCAGCAATTTGTTAGAATAGCAAGAATCTATTTTTTATTTTAATGATATTAGTACATTTTATTTCAAAAACTTTGTATATCTTTTGGATGATTTGCAATATAATCCTCTATATCATTTAAAGATAATGCACATATTGTTTTATCTTGTTCCCGTAAAATGTAAATAGTAAAGTAAAATATAATAAAGTTAAATCTATATTAATCTATTTATATAAAGTATTATATAAAATATATTATAATGCGTGTCTAAATAAGTCTTACATGCATACCCAATTTCTTTATTTTTAATTTGATATACAT